GTGATCTACTTTGACTCGCAATAGCTGTCTAGGATCTTAGGCAGAGAGTGGTATCTGTCTATCACCTGCTACCTGATTATTTGAACAGGAGATAACAGATTAAGCAAGAGAGCTTTGTATGCAAATCATGTGCCTTCTCATTTTTAGGGGGGAAATACAACTAATGGTCCAAAGCCCCTGAGTAGTACTGTACAACATTGATATAAATGTTAATAAAAGCAGGAAATGTATGCATCTGAGAATTCAATTTATCTTTGTGTTCTAAACAAAGATGGAGAATTGCCATGTTTTTAGAAAACTATTTCCATTCGTTTTGGCCAAGGGTTAAAGATCTTTGGGTTAAAGATCTCTTTTGTTTTGATTCCTGAAAAACACCCTATATTATGTAAAACCTATAATCGGCATTTTCCCCTTCAGGCTGGAATTTATCACCCTCTCCTCCAAAGCAACTTTTCATGAGTAACTGGGCTTTTTACAGGATTTTCTCCCCCTTGCAATGGCTACAGAAAATCTTTGCCTCTGTGTGTATTATTATTTCTCATATTGTACATTACCGTATGCAGCTCAGAGTTCAAGTTTGAAGTGCTTTCCTCTGGTGAGGCCTCATATTTGCAAGGGTTTGTGCGATATAATCACAGAGATTTAAGATTAGAATATGAAATAGGGCAAGAAAGAAATTCCTTGGTAAGGCTGGCCTTCAGAAATTGTGATTTATATGCCACTGGTATGTATGTTTGTAGGAACACTCTCCCTGTGGCCAGGGAGCTAATTTAAGCATGCTCTTTTAAGCCTGAATGCGAAAGTGGATCTCTTGTGTTTGAGTGTGTGTGCTTGGCAACTTCTGTGCGATGTCCTTGAGTCTCTTCGCATGTGATTTACAAGGAATTCTAGCCCATCCCCTTCAAGAGGCCCAACAAGTTCAGAGAGACCTTACTGACTTTCATGTCTCCTCATAACTTGGAAAACTCGGGGATTAGCATTGAATGACACCAGGTTCTGCACTTGGGATTGCAGAATGGTGGCCATGATGAAGAGTTAAATTATCTTCAGAATGGTGGCTGATGCCCAGGACCTGACACATGCAGGCAATGAAATCAAGCAGGCCTCCTGATTCCTCGGAAGATGTGTGGCTTTGTCCAGATGTTTCTGGACTACAGCTTCCATCAGTAGACCAAGTCAGTGGTGTGAGATGGTGGGAGTTGCCATTCAGCAACTTCTAGATCATCATAGATTCCTTGATCCCTAGTGTTGGTGCCTTTGGATGGAGTGGAGCCATGGCTCTCAGGGTTGAAGCCTTGGAGGCATTTTGGCAGCGGCTGTAACATCATCTTCCCCCTCTCCAACTCCTTTGTTACCTCTGATTTTAACTGCAGTCCCCACCGTAGCTGGAGAGGCAGTGGATTTTCACAGCACAGCTGTTGTTTTGCACTATCCTTGTCGTAGTCCAAAATATTTGTTTAGGGGGTGGCTTGGTCTTGAATAGCCAAGACCCAGTAGCTTTACAAAACACCTGCCTTAGATTGGAAGTGTCAAGAAATGTCAGCGTGATAAACAGACTCATTTTTTGGATATTCCTTGGAGTGCCACCATAGGGACTGTTATGATGCATTTCAGAATATACCAGTACTCGCACTACTGAGGCTCTGATATTCTCCAATATTGAGAGTAGTGATATCTGCACCTTTATGGGCTACTTCTCAACTTTTCCTTCAGATCATCAGCGCAGCATATGTTTCTCTCATATATCTCCTCCAGTTGGGCCTTGGCTCTAAAAATTCCAACTTTGCAGCAAAGTATTGTGATCTCTTGCTTACACAGAATTCTGTGTAATAATTTTTCTTAAATTGTGTAATGTAATTTGAATTTGATTGCAGGTTTCTGAATTAGAGGCAGGAAAGGCATAAAGGAAATACAAGAGCAGTGGTACAGAACTTTGCTTCTTGGGCCATTTGTGTTGTGAACTGGCAGTTAATGTTTTCCAGTGCACGGGTACCAGCACTAAAATTGTGCCCATTGAGTACATGTGCTTGGTTTATTTCCTACCAGAAACTGGCAGCCAGTGATTCAGGAGCCAGGGCTAATCCAGGACCACCACATTTGAGTAGCCCAGGTGTAAAGTTCAGAAAGGCCAAGGTTCAATCTCTGTCAACTCCAGGTAGTGTTGCAAAAGATTCCTGTCTGAGAAATCCCATAGCCAGAATGCAGAAATGTGGGGTGGAAATTTTTTCCACACCAGAGACATGGGCACTCATACTTGCACACATTTATCCATAGCTGTCTAACTGTTGTCCTGCAGTCAGTCTTTTAGTGAAATAGATTATTCACCTAGTTGTATTGAATTAGATTTTTCTCAGCTTGACATGGAAACGGTAAACAGCGTGGGGAGTAAGTGAAGTTGGAGGTACTACAGTTTTACTTCTGTAAAGGAAAGTTAAACTGTTGATAAAAATATATATCAGGTATGACTCTCTTTAAGCATGTGTCCCTCCCCAAAATGTCAGAGTTCTTAAATGTTTAGTCATTTTTGTTAAATGTAAAGGACACATATGCTGCTATTCACATTGCATTATTACATATATTCCAGTTAAAAAACCCACCACATAAAGCATTGAATGTTTTCGAATAGTCTCCCTTATTTGAAATGCTTAAGACCAGAAGGGTTTTGGATTTCAGATATTTGAATATTTGCTTAAATATAATGAGATATCTTGGAGATGAGACCCAAGTCTAGACATGAAATCAGTTATGCTTTGTAAGTGGCATAGTGGTTTGAGCATTGCACTATGACTGAAGGCCAGGGTT